GAAGAAATCAAAATAAATGTACGTTTTTTTTTAAACGGTGCCAAATCACAAACTAGAAATTTTAAGCTGGCAACCAGACTGAAGACCAAAAGCAGGGGAGTGGTTCAGATAAAAGCGCCAACGGTAGAGTCAAAGATCTTTGCACAACCCACCCCTACACATGCACACAGGCACACACACACCATGCTAAGCCCTTGCCCCTCGGTGACATCCTGCTTCTCCCTGCTGACCATTGTCTTCTGATCATTCAACTGCTACTATTGAAAGGGTTTAAAGTAAGGAGACGGACAGGACAGAGCATTTTGATCTCGGCGCTGCTACTGGTTTGTGTTGAAGACTGAGTTTCTCCTGCTGCTGTAGAAAGGCAGGGACTGGTTCTTAGAGTCCCAAGCAGTGGTTTTCAAACTTCCTAATGCTGTGACCCCTTTAATACAGTTCCTCATGTTGGGGTGATCCCCCCAAACATATAAGATTATTTGTTGTTGCTTCTTCATAACTGTAATTTTGCTACTGTTGCGAGTCATAATGGAAATGTCTGATATGCAGGATATCTGCTATGTGACCCCCGTGAGTGGGGTTATGACCCACAGGTTGAGAATCACTGTTCTAAAGGGAAGGAGACCACAGCAGGCACTGAATTGTCTCACCTGCCTCTGTGCCCATCCCCAGACTCTGACCACACCTTCCTGGCTAAGCTGGGATGACAAGTTATACCTGGAAAAGGATGGAAGGCTTACACCCAGCTGTAGGCTGGGAAGAGAAAGTGTCCAGGGTCTGCCAGAGTGTTTGTAAAGCCTCCTAGTATTTGTACTCTTCCCACCAGCCGCTTGGGTCCCGCTGCTGTCTCAGCCCCCAAATAACACAGGAGACACTATATCAATTATGAAGCTGTTGGCCATTTGCTATTGTTTCTCACTGGCTATTGACCCATAATGACTAATACATATTTTTATAAGGGCTTCCTTTCCTCGTGGGAGATCACATGGTGACGACTCTCTCCTCTTGACTACATTTCCCAGAATCCTCTGCAACTCCTAGTCCCACCTATCTTGCTTCCCTATTGGCCAACAGTGCTTTACTCATCGACATATACACAGAAGGACTTCACCCATCATATATATATTATTTTAAAGCCTTATTTTCTAGATGAGACAATAAATGGGGTGCTCTGTCTATATTTACATAACTAATATGTGATGAAGGCCATCACTGAAGACGAGATTCCTGTCACAAATGCTTCTCAATACCCATCGTCCTCATTGCTTCAAGAGTCCTCTTCTAACAGGACATTTTAGATGCTACTTTCTGAGAGCAGAATGCGTGCAAAAGGAAACCCACAAGGAAATCTAACCACCCAAGCAAATCATAGGGAGTCTGTATCCCACAAATGAGGTTGGACCTGGAATTAACTACAGCACACACAGTCCTGAGGAAGCGAAAGCATGGATCTGTCAAGAATTCTTAGAAACAAGACCACACGGAGAGTGGGGTGGGGGGTAATGTTAAAAGTTCATGGGAAATGGAGCAATTGGTGAAAAGAAAGGCCCAGCCCTAGTTTCCAGCCTCCTGCTTGCTGAAAGTGAGTTCCCTGGGCTTGGTGATATCCCTGGTCAGTCCATGTTGCCCTTGGTACTCCTCAGGTGCAGGAGGTCCTGCGATGTAAAATACCACGCAAGTCAGTTTGAGGTCCCTCTCCCTCCAGTTGTATTGAAAAAGTGACTGGGTGTTCCTCCAGTGCCTTCTCCAGCCAGGAAAGACAAGACGATGTGTTTGCTAAATGTGTGAGCACCTGTGTCTTTTTCTATATCTTCACCGTGTAGGTATAAGCACTTCAGTATCGCTCTCTCATGAAATTAAAGGCAAGCTCCCTTATATCCTAAGCGTTGGATGGCATTTGACACCAAAATTTGCCACTCTGGGGTAAAATAACACTCCTCACAGGACCAGAAAGACGGGCTAATTCCGAAGTCTGCATCTGAATCGAAGTTTAAGGGGCCAGAGATGGCTCAGCAGTTAGGAGCACTTCTTGCTGTTCTCACAGAGAACTGAGTCCAGCTCCCAGTCCCCCACATCACATGCACCCTGGCTCCAGAGGATCAGATATCTTTTCTTCTGACCCCGTATGCACAGAGAGATACAGACACGCAATTGAACAGTAACTATTCAAGAGTCAGTACACAGGAATAGTCAGCCGGTATGGAAATGTCAGCTGCAAAGCCCACTTCCAGGTCTGCCGTGTGCAAAGCCCTGGCACCTCCCTGTAGGCCCACGGTGGAAGCTCACTCAGACTGTAAAGATGCCGTAGAACCGTTAAAGGGGGAATTAGAAAATATTCTGTATCCATAAAACCAGGCTATGCGCCTAAGCCTGTGACACCTGCCCCCAGATGTGTAATGGCCTCTTGGGATCACATTGTCACCAGGCTGCTGTACTTTCAAAAGCCATTGAGATACTTGGGGTATGAAAGGTGCCATATAAAAGTGAATTTAATTCCACACTCTTCCAGTAATTTGCCTCATAAATACTTCTTGAACTGGTGAAATACTTGCGGTTATAGGAATAAAACTTATGTATTCACAACCTATGTGTTATTTCATCTTCTTGGAAGTCAAAGGACTCTTCCTGTGTTTGTGATGACCAAATAAATCTGCTGCAGACGTCTTTATAACGGCTGTTAGCGCAAGTGACATTGCACCTAGAGTCAGCACTGTTATCTATCGTGTTTCTCTTGCAATTATTTTATGTGTACTTCCTTGTCAGTTTTGAGCAAATGGGATCAATTGTTTTTTTCATCATTTAATAATTCATTTCCCCTCCCCCTGAAATGTCATGATTTACTCTACAAACCAGGGAATACTTAGGTGGAGACTTGAGTCAGAAATGACTTTTAGATCTCACTGAGGAGGTAATACGCATCCACATCAGATGGTCCCGAGGCAGGAGCATGGCTCTAGTACCCACTCAGTGCTGTGGCTTGTTTTGCACAACATGGTCCTCTCTGAGCACATTTAAAACAACAACTCATTTAGCATCTCTCGGCGCAAATCCTTCAAGGCCCAGTGCCTTCACTGGAAATCTGTGGTACCTTGGTGACAAAGGTTAGAAATGACTTCCAAGGGTCACTCTGATGAGCATGACTATCTTTTTTTGTTTGTTTTATTAGCTCCTTGAGTTTTAAGTTTTGCACAATGTGCTTCGATCTCATTTACCTCCCACAACAATTCCCTTCGAGACCGATACGTGCTACCCAGGTATTCAACCCACCTCCTCTGCAATGAGCCTCGGGGAAGGGTACAGTCTCTATGTTCCCTTTAGGGCTGAGTACTCTGGTCTGTTCTTTTCTGTACCTCGGCCAGGTCTGGGTCTCTGTGTCAATCGCCCATCCACCACACATAGCAGTTGAGAGGTTCCATGATCAACTGTGACAATGCTAAGTCATGAGGAGTCAGTTTATGCCTATGTGTATTGAAGAGCATAATGGAATGCTCTCCCCCAGAGCCTATGGCATGTCTCGTCAGAGGTTCTTAGCCCGATATAGGTACCATCTTGTAGAGCAGGACTTAAATCTAGTCATAAAGGGGTTGTTTACAGCTCTGGTGTTTGTGCCACTATTGGGCATGTCTTGCCAAGCCTGCAGTTGCTACTGTGCCTTCAGAGTTCATAGCTGGGTGAAAGTGACGGTTGCTTTTACCCTCCAGGGGTGTGTGCATCCCACCTTCCAGCATCATGAGGGCCAGCCATGGATGGTGATGAAGCTTCCAGTCAGTCCTTCCTTGATTTTACCATGTTCTATAACACCATCATGTTCCAGAGAGTGACCAGGAGCAATGGAAATAACTTGTGATGTTTGGGGTCTACAGGATTTTAGGGACCAACAGCACTGAAAGAATTAACCCATCCCTAATAACGGGCTTTTTATTTGTTACCTTCTGGTGTTTAATAGAAACATTATTGCCCTGTATAGGGTAACTTCCACTTATCTCATGTGTGGGGTGTGTGTGTGTGTGTGTGTGTGTGTGTGTGTGTGTGTGTGTGTGTGTGTGTGTAGTGTGTGTGAGTATATGTATGAGTGTGGTGTGTGGTATGTGTGTGTGTGTGTATGTGTGTGTGTGAGTATATGTGTGTGTGTTTGAGTATATGTATGAGTGTGGTGTGTGTTTTATCATAAGCATTTTAGAGTTTCAATCCTTCCCCACATTCCCTGCTCTACCCTGCCCTCCACTCCCCCACCTCAATTTAACCCTTCTTGTTCCACTATTCCTTTTCATACCAGCAAATCCTATCTCCCATTCCTTGAGAGCTCCTCCCCATGCACCTTAGCGCGTGAGAAGACTAAGACAATGAGAAACAGCCATCCAATTACATATTTAAGATAGCAGAAGGTGACTCTGGTGATTAAATGTGAATACACATGAGGCTGTATATAGACCCACCCATTGGGAGGGCTCATAAACTGACAGTACGTCAGTTACCTTGTGATAAAACTGCAACTATTTTCAGTGTAGTAGGAAAGAATTGTCCTATGACTTTAGAATGAGTTTTATACATCTAATCAGGCACCAATTTCAAGCCCCTCTCAGTTCTGGAGATGTAAGGCCTCAGTGAGTCTACAGCCCTGTATGATAGACATGACCCTGCCTTGAAAAGTGAAGACTTTAACTTTCGAAACCAAAACCGCTAGAGATTCATTATTCCATGGAGTTTTATATTGGAATATGGAACAGAATATTTATATATTATCCAGTGGTATAATCAGATACAAAAAATATGCTATTTTAAAGGAAGCTTAAAACTTACCATAAAGCTCATATTATAATTTCCACATGCACACAAGTGTGTGACAGAACCCTGAGCATGACTCACTGCTTAACACCACCACGCTTAGTCCGTGGCTCGGTTGGGCACCTCTTGGTTCCACTAATTTATTTTTTTCCTGAAACCACTGTTTTTTTATGTTACAGAATCGTCTAAAGTGAAAAAACGAGAACCAAACAACTCCAGGCTTTACTAAACATTCTATAATGGCTAAAGGACTTCACACAGTGTTCTGAGACATTAGGGTATCTCCCTGGGGCCCTCTGACATAACTCACCAACAAATTCAAGGCAGTTCCTGTCTATACCAGAAAAGGCCAGAGCTGAATCGCCTCCAAATTCCAGGACATTGGGAACTACGGGTGTCCAAGCTTTGTAAAAACACTGACAAAACCAAGGACAGCACATATTCTTTGGTCTGGCAAAAAAAAAAAATACTTCCTTTTTAATTTTTTATTTTTTTCTAAGTGCATTTTTCCATGTCCTAAAGGGAGCATGTCCATTCAAGATTGTCTGGAGAGAATCACAACACAAAAGAAAAATACATTGCTGTCTGTAGTTGGAGGTTTCTCATCCTGCGGGCCGGTTCCCAAATAACCACTCGAATGCTTGCGGTTAATTGTAATTGCTTGGCCAATGGCTCAGAAATGCTATTAACTAGCTCTCAGAATTAAATGAACCCATTTCTATTATTTTGTATTTTGCCACGAGGCCCGTGGCTTATGACTTCACATCTTGCTTTCCACATAGCTGCATGGTGTCTCCCTGACTCCGCCTTCTTTCTCTCGGTAACTCTTTGAATTTCCCGCCTGGCTGTATTCTGACTGGCCATTGGTCTAAGCAGCTTTATTCAGCAACCACTAAAAGCAGCACATTCACAGCGTTCAGAAGGACATCATCCCACACCCGTTGCCAACGCGCTCACCCGACAGAGGTAAGCGCTTGTCGCTGGCAGGTACTGATAACCAACCCTTCTGAAGATGCCCCTAGGGTTTGGTTCTCTGCAGTGCTATAAGTTTCCGTGGGATCCTTGGCTTTGGTTCCCTGGCGCCACAACTGTGTTGGATGCTGAGTCCTGTCTGAACGCTCATAAGCAACAAGCTCTCTGTACAAAATCCAACTTCCAGCCTAAGGGTTAAGAATACGCCAGAATCATGTTCATCAGCCAATGAGACGGGGTTCAGCCTTGGGAGTCGGGATATGACGTTTATGCCGAATCCGGGGAGTTCCAACTTTAGTAACTTCTGGAGCTTCATAACACATACGAGGTGTGCTATAAACACTAAAGGGAAAATAAAATGATGTCACAAAGAATGCAGTAAGTTGAAGTTATGGCTGATGGCACAGGCCAGCAATCCTAGGACTTCAAGGTCAAAGCCTGTCTGAGCCCAGATGAGATTAAGTCCAGCCTGGTTGACTTAGCCAGACCTGATGCAAAGTAAAACATACAACGCCTAGGCCATTGATCAGTGAGACCCCTTCTACAGCCGGTGTGGGGCCCTGGATTTAATCCCTGATGCTACAGACTTAAAAAATAGAGGAAACTAACTCTAAATGTTGTTCTTAAATCGTCTTTAATTTACATCAGATTTTGTGTGTTACTGACTCCATATGAGCTAAACCTAAACTTTCAGAGACGACCTCAATACACAGATGTGGGCATCATGGAGAGAGAAATTACCCTCTCTGCATAGTAATTCAGAAGGAATGTTTTAGCATTCCCACGGTGATGGTTCAAATTATTCAAAATTTTAAGTGTAGGCACCACCAAATACAGTGCTAGGTAATAACAGCTCCATACCCTTGATGCCACAGCTTCTGGTCCAGTGCATTTACAGAGAGAGATGATGAACTCCACACACTTGCTGGTTGATGCTTCCCACTCTCCCTCCCCGACCCTTTTTCCCCAGCACTTGGGATGAGGAATGCAAACTCTGAAAGGATCAGGTTAGCGTCTGCAGTGCTGAGAGCCAGCAACACAGAAGCAGAAGTAGCCCTTGCTTCACAACACACTTCTTGCTTGAAGAAGACCACAGTCTCTGGAGACTCAACTCAAAGGGACGAGTGAGTCACAGCATCATGCTGCATCACAAGCCACTTAGAAGAGCCAGGCGTTGGTGGCGCACGCCTTTAATCCCAGCCCTAGGGAGGCAGAGGCAGGCAGATCTCTGTGAGTTCAAGGCCAGCCTGGTCTACAGAGCTAGTTCCAGGACAGCCTCCAAAACAATACAGAGAAACCCTGTCTCGAAAAACAAACAAACAAACAAAAAAAACAAGCAAAAAAAAAACCCACAAGCCACTTACAAGGATTTAAAATGCAAGCCAGTGAACTTTCAATTCATGGGCACTACAACCAAAGCTTCTAGAAATGTCCATGTGACTGACATGTAGCTTTGGACGGAATCTGTGCTGGGAAGCTCATTTTCTCTGTGCTCTTTGGAGGGAGTGTGTTGTGCGCCCTGGGTGCTGGGGAGACCTTGCCCTTACCTGCCTCACAGCAACTCTGGAAATTCATCATTGACTCTAATCTCTGTCAGCCTCTGATTGCCAGGGACTCTTCTCGACATGTCTGGGCACAAGAGACAAGAGCTCTGTCTTCTCTTTCTCTCCAAGGAACCTGCCCCTTCTTGGCTCCGCCCAGACTCACTTCTTTCCTTCTCTTTCCAGTTGAACAAAGGCACTTCTCAGTGGTCAGTAAACATGGCTTCTCTTGATCTGGTGGAAAAGAAGAGTGCCTTCTGTTGTCTTCAGAGCGTTCCTACCTTCCCATGAGGTAGTCATTCAGCCCTGTGAAATTATTTTAAGAAAAAAAATAAATTAATTTCTTAAAGTAAATTATCCCCCGATCCTTGAAGCAGATTTGTTTTTGCTGTTTTCCTTTCAAATATTATTTTCATTATTTATTTATTTGTTTGTTTGTTTGTGCACATGCTTGCACATGCGCACAGGGCCCACAGAACACGAGAAGATGGTGTTGGGTACCCTGGAATAAGACTTTCAAGCACTGGTCAGTTGCCCTGTGTGGTTGCTGGGAACTGGCAAGACAGAAGAAATACTGTAGAGCCTTGTTTGAAAATAGATCTTTGAGACTATTTCGGGAAAGTGGGGTTTGGTTAGGATACACAACAGAGTCTTGCTATTATCCCTTCATGAGCGTGGGGTACATGTTCTGTGATGATGAGTGAGACAGAGCTTAGGATGGCGCGAAGGTCCACACTGTACTGTGAAGGAAGACATCTTAAGAGGATAGAGGGACGCAGTGGGGAGGAGACTGGAGACTTGCCTTTATAAGCCCCATGTATAATGCAGTGTAGGCAGTGCAGGCAGTAAGGAATGGTGCGTGAGAGGACCTGCATCAAAAAGTAAATCTGATGGGGAAGTCCTGAATAAATGTCAATAAAGCACTGTTGGCCAATAGGGAAGCAAGATAGGTGGGACTAGGAGTCAAGGAGGATTGTGGGAAAGAGAAACACAGGGAGTCACGATGTAGCCTCCAGAGGAGTAAAAGGTCCGGACCCTTTCCCTGGTAAGAGAAATTCTTAGATTAACAATTATGGGGTAAACACTTAAGTCAGAGATAGCCAGTAAGAAACCAAGCAAATGGCCAACAGCTTTATAATTAGTACAGCTTCTTGCGTGTTATTTGGGGGACTGCAATGTGGCAGGGCCCAGGAAGATGGTGGGGAAGGCTAGACTCAACATAAATCCATGGTCAGAAACATGTGAACAGGTACTCGGTGCCATTAATCACCAGGCAAAAGCAACTGAAAGCCACCAATTAAACCCTAAGGAAGAGAGACAGTGCTTGGCCAGGATATGAGGTCACCTTCCTGGGTGTGGGGTTGGGCACAGAGTACCTTTATCTGTGTGAGCGGCTGAACATGCCGCTGACCCAGGATTCCTACAGCAGGACGTCGCCAGAGCTAAACAGAATGGTTAGAGTACTGTGTGCGCAGCTCGAACCTCTGAGAAGCCTCACTGCAGATGAACTGTTTTTGAACAGTGACAGAATTAGCATGACAGTTACTTCCTGGAATAGACATTACTAGAAGGGGAAGAAGTAAAGGAAGGGTCTGGGGTCGGTCACATTTCCTTTTTGACCATTATCAAGCTGTGCTGTTATCCTCTGTGTACTTTTCTGTCATAGTTCAACTAAAAAGTTCACATTTTAAAAACGTGAAGAAGGAAATTTGAGTAAAACAATACCGGTGACCAGCTTCTCTCACTGATGTACAGCAGCCTAATAATCTTATCTTCAATTAAAATCTAGCCCTGTCAGCTGAATCTTTATCCCCTTAAATTGGTCATAAAGACCTGACCCAGGTCCCACGCATCCATTCTGAACTACATCTCCTGGGTAGTAGAATCCACAAGTCTTAAAAGCCAGTGTTGTCGAAATCAATTCTTCTCACCTCGGAATAATGAGCCTGCTGCCCAGGATGGCCTCCCTGTTCCCTGAAATGATTCACCATTCTCTGACATTTAACAAAATGTGGTGCCTTTTCCCTGTTTCTAAAGCATCAGGGGAGCCCCAGCTGTGTTCTGTCTGTTTTCTCAGGACAAACAGAATCTATTTGGCACACAAGCAGCCAGGGATGCCTCCTGTACCATCTACCCCCACGGGCTTCTGAAAAATGACTTGCAATGACTTTGGCCTCCAGCAAGCATCGAGGCTTCTGGGAGGAGAGGGGAAAGGGCCTCCCAATGGGTTTTGAGGCTTATCATGTAGAAATGCAGTTCAAATTCCCTATTCTGCTTTGTTTTTTTTAATAATCTATTTTCATGTGCAATGGTGTTTTGTCTGCATGTGTGTCTGTGTGAGGATGTTGCTCTCCTGGAACTGGAGTTACAGTTCTGAGCTGCCATGTGGGTGCTGGGAATTGAATTCAGATTCTCTGGAAGAGCCACCAGTGCTCCTAAATGCTAAGCTACCTCTCCAGGCCCTGCTTTGATGTAAAAAAACAAAACAAAAAAACATAAAAACAAAAACAAAAAAAGGAGTCTTCATCTAAGGGCCACTTTGACAATTTCTTATTCATGGGTCATCTAATATCTAAAACTATGAGGGAGAACTCAAAACTCAGACATGAGGTGTCATTTCTCTTTTATGATTCTTGCCATAGAGGGCTGGAACCTTCAGTGGCTGTGGGCTTTGCGCTGTGGGGTTACCCCAGGAAGATTTAGCCTCGTGGTTTGGGAAGCAGAGGCGACTCCAGGAAAATAAGCCTGGCTTGGCCACTGGGCTTGTCCCTGCAGATTCTTACCCTGGACCTGCTTGCTGCAGCATAAAAAAAAAAAGCCTGTCAGGGCTTTCTGCCTTTATTTATGAACATCTCCTTGGCCTTTTCCTCCCAGCATTTCAAATTTATTTCCCCATTTAGGATCCACAGTTGAGACAGAAATGTCGCCTTTAGAGAACTCCCTAGAACTCTCCATAGTCTGTGTCAGGACCAAGTGGATAGCTTCTTTTTCCTTCCCTTTATTACTTCTACTCCAGGATTTTATAGCCCACAACCTGTTCCTCAGAAGCCATTAATCTTCAGCTAACTGGGAGTGAAACAGTATTTGAGACTTTTATCACTGGGTTTCTTCAAACATTTCCAGACTTTGCAATTGTGTTACCTGGCATTGACTGTCATTGATTTAAGACAATTTTGGCAACCCAGATTATTATTTTTTAATGAGTCTATGTCTTAACTTGCAGTTTATTCCCCCTCTTTAATTTGTTGGTGTGACTGAGTATGTGACCAGTGACATGCCGGCAAATGTTACTGTCTACCACGGTCCTTGCCACCTCATGTGGTTTGGAAGTCAGAGCATTTGTGAGTCATTTTGGTGGAGCGCCACACTCACAAACTGTTCTCCTGAGTGGCTGTAAAGTATCTAAGACCCAGTCAAAGAGTGAAAACAGGAAGGGAACATGTTGACGCACTGTGCTGTGACTCCATAAAGTCTAGGATCACAGTCTATGTGGCAGCTTGGAGCACAGCCAGCTGAGCTTGTGACCACGATTATGTCAGGGGTGTGTGTATTCTGTGGACCCCAGACTGTCCCACCATTTCCCGTCCTATGCCACACAGCAGAGCAAGTGAACACTGGTGGACATCAGTGTCTAGACCAGAAATGGGCACTGTAAAGAGAGGCTTTTCCTTGCTAGCCGCTTTGGTTTATCACCCGCCGGTTGCCTGGGCTCTGCTGCATTGTAGTCCCCAAATAACACACAAGACGCTGTATTAATTATGAAGCTGCTGGCCTTGCTTGTTTCTTACTGTCTAGCTCTGACTTAAGTAATTACCCCATAATTGTTAATCTAAGTATGTCTCTTACTGGAGAATAGTTCCGGGTTTCCTACCCCATGACGTTACATCTTGACTCTCCATATGTTTCTCCTACCCAGAGTCCTTCTGGACTCCTAGTCCCTCCTATCTTGGTTCCCTATTGGCTCAACAGTGCTTTATTGACATAATCACAGGACCTCCCACATCAAGGCACACCTTTCTTCTAAAGCCAAATGGCAAATATTTTAACTTTGTAGGTCTTGAGGCATCGATGATAAACATTCAGCACTGCCGCAAAGACTCAGTTCTGAAACGGTCACACAAAAGTGGGCACAGATAGCATGTTAATGAACAAACAGCCAGGTACCCATCCACCCCCCCCCTTCTGTTTTTGTATGGCTCTTGAGATAAAAATGGGTTTCACATTTTAATGCTTTTTAAAAATCAAAAGAAGAAGAACATCCCATGACATTTGAAAATTATACGAGATTACAGCTTCAGTGTTCATAAATAAATTTTACTGGACATAGCTATGCCTGCTCGTTTACATATTGCCTATGAATATATTTGCATGCCAATGGCAGAGTTGGGTTGGCAAAGTAGCTACAAATGACACGGGATCTTCCTTAATAGCCTCTGGTCATAGCAGTCTTTATACCCTCAAAATATATAAAAAGCAAAACCCTAGTTTGGGGAAAACTGTGGATCCTACGATCAAAATTTGATGAAGATACAGGAGAAAAGAGATTATTTTATACTTTTTAGAGAGAATCGGTTACCTACAATTATTGATGCAAGAATCAAACCCTGAAATGATACTGACAGGTGGAACTAAAAATTATGTGAACCATTGGTGCCAAGGGTCTCATCTCCATCAACTTTAGCCCAAAAGTGAAAATGAGCATTTCACTCATAGCTGTGTTATCCTGATAGACATGCCACCAAACACTAGGAAAAATGTTCACCAGCCGATCACGAGCCGGTTGTAGGTTATCCTCTTCCGTAAACTGTACAAGTCAGATAGGGATTGCTTGTGATCATTAGAAAAAGAAAATGCCTTTATCACACCAGCAAAGTCCTATGAAGATTAGACAAGATACAGCCCACTGCAAACTTTTGCTGGAGAGAATCTGAGCTACAAAGCAGGCCTCCAAATCATCTGTGTCTGTATGCTCAATGATTAATAGTTTCCCTCGGGAATTAATGGTAGGGGCCACAAATCCATCCGTTCTCCTGCTTTTGCATTTGACATGCCCTCCAAAAAGATAAACATTTGGTGTCTATTATATACTAGTGCTGAAGGACCACAGATGGCAGCTGTATAAGGAAAGGCCTTGGACTCCTCCCAGCAACACTGTAACTAAGGAAATCACTTATAGCTAATGGAAGGGGATTCATGTAGATTTAGAATTAAAGACATTAGAGAGCAATAAGTCAAGAGTCAAACAAGCAAGATGGAAAATATGGCTGAATGAGGAGAGGTAGGTCGCAGAGACCCAACAAAGGCTTCTTGCAGGGGAGCAGCTTGCAAGGAATCTTAAGTGTGAAAAACACACAGAGCATTTGATGAATAAATAAATGAACTTTCAGTAGAGGTTTGAAAAGAAAAACAAACACAAATCCATGGAATAATTGGCCTTCCAGACTGTGGTTCTCCATGTGGCTCAGATGGACAAGTAAATGTTGTCGTTTCTATTTCATGTCCTTATCCAAAAAAGCCTAATGGCTAAACCGAATCTTTGAGACAGGAAAGGACACACTTATCGCCATGGAAATGTCCTCAGAGGGCGTGGGGAAGAGCACAGATGAAGAGAAAGCAGGGTTGAGCTGCAAGCATCTGCCACACTGAACCGTATGTGAATGTTTGTGACTTTATTGGCTTCTGTGTTCTCAGCCACATAGATTTCAAATTAGTTGCAATCTTTGCTTTACCTAAAATAATTACTGACCTTCCTACATGCTGGTCTTGTGAGTGACCATACGCTAAGACAGTCGTGCTGATAATGTCTAGAAACATGTCTCCTGGACAAAAGTGCAGGTCTTTGATGTCTTTGCCTGGTTCCTGTGCAGCCATGCAGACACAAAGTGAACACAATGAGCAATCCACAGTTGATTCCCTTTAACTGACTGCCTTGTCCTGCTTTAAAACGTGGATGACTCATAGACACCCACGATTCCTATCATTTGATAATATTAATATTCAAAGCCTTATGAAGCTGCCTGCCTGCATCAGTCAAGCTGATTGAGGTTGTAGGGCCAATCAAAACACAGATAGAAAACTCTGCCCTCCTCGAAGACAGCATTTCTAGTTCCGACAGCAGAAATGCAGACCTATGGCCATGTCTCTCAAACCTTGAAGTGCATTTGACCCATCTGGAGATCTTGTTTAGATGCTAATTCTTGTGCAAACATCTGGATGAGACCTTGATTTTGTCCCTTCCTACAAGCTCCAACAGCTGACAATGGTGTTGGTGCATGGGCTATCCTGAATGGAGAGATCTGAAGAAATTGGTGTGGCATCAGTCTCCTGAAGGAGAGCTCCTGTCTATGAGACATACAGTAATTTCACTTAAGAAAAAAATACACGAGAATTGACCTCAGCGTGTGTAATATTGTGAGGTGTTTGATGTATCAGAGGCCAGCTATACTTTCCCTTTACTGACAATCAGTGCAATTTGCATTCTGAGAGCACATCTCTTACCAGAAATGTATCTTATTCGTGCAAAAGCAATGTCTTCAACTCTGTTTTAGATTCAATTGCTGGCAATGTGGAATTATGTAAAGGCAGTCAATTAGACAAATGTACAAAATACCTTACAGACTATGTTTGAAGTTTCTCAATGCACAGCTGTGTTGATTAAATGTGTACTGGTTTTCTCATGGAATAAGGTGCAATGTGACACAGTGACCGTGTTATAGAGTATTGAGCACTTACTGGGATAGAGTGTCGAGAGCGTTTACTGGGATAGAGTGTCGAGCGCTTACTGGGATAGAGCGCTGCATGTCACATGGTGATGGGTGACACACAGTTCCCTTCAGAATGAAGTTCAAACAAGTGTTTAAAAGAGGAAAGGATTAGGGAGTGAAGAAAAAAAGTCAGAACAAACCGAGGTGAGGGCTGGGAGGTGGGTGGACTCACAGGTTAATTGATAAAAAGAACCTGTGAGCAGAGCCCCCTTCTTCTGAGATTTTCAATGACAGGCATGTGCAGCTGTCTTGGGTACATGCATTCACACAATGCAAAACGTACTGACGAGTGGGTGGACAAATGCCTCAGAATCCATTTGAACCCAAGAAACTGATGATAGGGTGTATTCAGGACCTCCCATTTAGGCTCTTGCCTGAGCGCCTCCCTTCCACGGGCCTGATGGAGTGAGCGGATCTTTGAATACACAGAAACTTACTCTGTCATCTCCTACTGCCTTGTCTGTTGTTTAGAAAATATGACTTTTGTTGTCCCTCCCCAGAAAGAATAAAAGAAATGTTAGGAGCACAATAAAGAGTGGGGGTTGGAAAAAGTAGAATTTGTGAGGATGCTTGTCTTGAAAAAGCCGTGAGGGACTTTGATCCTGTTGTTGAGTGACAGTCTCAGGACAGCCAACGTGAGAGTCCTTGCTTATCCCTTTGTGTCTCTGGCCATCACTGCTCCTCACTCCTTCACACACAAGTGGGCTCTGCTCCACTGTGCCGTCACTGTCCAGCCGACCTCCCCTGACCTTTGGGATCAACACACTCAAGACTTCGACCAAGAGGACACTAACCGATATCAGGCTATCTCATGACTACATGTCCCCACTTTCCTTGAGAAAGATAATCTTTAGGCTTTCTCGTCAACCAGAATTATAAGCTTAGGGTTCTACCAGTTCACAGCAGACTCTTAACTAAGGACCATGGTCTCTGGATCTTCAAGACACATAAAAATCTACTGTGCTTGTGTAATTCTTCAACCTGAAAAATGAAAAAAGAAAAAGGAAAAACTAAGCGTATACACATAAAAGTCTTTCTTTATTGCCTTGAAAGTAGTTCTTCATCCCTCTTTTCAGTGGAATGAGGGTGATTATGTTTGCTTAGGGAGCTTATTATTATGCAAAGTACTGTTTCAACACCACGGGGGAAAAAATGAAGGTTCCGGAACTTATCACTCCTGAAGTGCCCTCAAAACTGGGTAGAAATCTCTCCATGATGGGAAAAGGTCTCGGTGCTGATGGGTTCTCTCACAGGATGCAGACTGAAGTATCTTTGCAAAAGATCTATTAATTCCCCCATGCCAAATTTGAGCACAGCCCCGGAGGTGAGGACACCTGCAACATTGTATTTGTACACTGCTAGCCTAGCAATCTTTGACTAAAGGCTTAGAAGGAAACACTTGTTCACCTTCAAATCTCTCTCAACAGTTTACATGGCTTTATCTGATACCAATGAGTGAACCTCCTTGTATAATATGGTTTAGTAACTGTCTGGTTAGAAGCACAGATCAGTCAGTAACCACAGTTACTTGAACCAGACTCAACCACCGTATGCCACAGGGCATGCAGCCTCTACAAGAAGACCCTGCTGACTTGAATTTTACCTACGCCTTGAAAGACTGTTGTCTGATGAAACGGTTGTTCAGGGCTGAGGATATAATTTGGTTCAGAGTTCTTGACTGACAGATACAGAGCTGAGTATCAATTCCCAGTACCACAGAAAAAGAAACAAAATATCATTAGACTATGAAATCCATATTCCATATAGCTCTCCTACCTTTAACTTGATAGGAATTCATCCTTCATTTTAGTCAGTGATCCCTGGCTTGGATCTTAGATGAGCAGCCTTCCTCCTTCCCAAATATCTCACACTTGGCTAGACCCTCGGACTCACGCTTCCTCAAGTAGAGAACGTGGATACTTGTGAAGACATAATTATCCACCAAGTGGACAGGAAGTCCGTAAGTGTTCTGAACAGTCTTGCATAAGCCCTAGACTCATGTGCCAGCTTTTAAGAACATGTATGTGCCTGTGCTGTCACTATGGTCTCTGATAGAGAGGAGCCATTTCCATTTTCGGGAGCTGTGGTTTCACTGAGCTATGTGCTGTATATAACTCACCCACTTAAAAAAATACAATTCAGTAAACTTAGTCATGAAATTATTATGCAAACATGCCCAGCATTTAATTTTGAACATTACCTGCAAAAGAATAATTCTCCCTGTAAATGTCCCAACCCCACATTGCTTATAACCCTAAGCAACAGGTTATTAGCTTGTACTGCACACTTCACAGACAAGAAATTATAAGGTTTCATAATGAACTTTCTGATTAAGTTTTTTTCAGGCAAATAATGTTTCCTACTCTTACTAATTTTTTCCCTTGCCCTTGGTCCATTTTACAGCGATATGAACCCACTGAGGTTCTAGACTAATTCCTAGTGCTTTTGTTGAGAAACTTTTTGAAGTGGAAATTCTGGGAGTCAAACTCAGGTCCTTGTACTTGCAAGGCAAGGACTTTACTGTCTGAGATATCTCCTCAACCCAAGCAAGGGAGAGAGGTGTCTCCGAATGTTGTTATCACAAAGCAGCAGTCGTTGAGAGGGAAGGGCTGCCTCAGCGAACCCAGTGTGTTATCCCTGCAGCCTTTTAGCTGCTAACATCTGCCTGACCATGAAAGAGAGAGCATAGATCAGGAACAGCCTGGCCAGTTCCCAGGGTGAGGGCAAAGTGGACTGAACTGTACAGAGGATCTAACAGATGTGGGAACTTCTGATGGGTGACTCTCTGGACGGACAGCGTAGAGCCCGCTGGCTCTGGGTGGAGGATCTGGCTGTCAGTAAAGGAAAGTGTGACACAGCCTTTCATCACAAGGATTCCGTCCTGCAATCCACGGAGTATTGAATTAAGATGAAACTCAGCTTAGACTTCCAGGTTAACTCTTAGGTCTCTCCTTTTGGTCTTAACTATACTTTTTGCAAACTAAGAAAAGTCTACTGCTGCACACAAAGCCACAACACTAGCAGATTTGAATTTGAAGTGCAGGCTTGCTTCCACACAGAAAACCATTTTATTTCATGGAGTATAAGCTCATTGCAAATAACCGGGTTATATTATTTATGAAAAATTTTCCTAAGTTAGCCCATGATATGATTATCTTTGTCAACCTGACAAAACCTGGGAAAAGAGTCTAGTGAGGGATGGCCTACACTGGGCTGGCCTGTAAGCTTGTCTGTGGAGGATTGTCTTTGAGTTCATTGATGTGGGAAGATTCAGTCCACTGCAGGCAGCACCATCCCCTAAGCGGGTGATACTGGACTGTAGTAGAATGGGGAAACTGATCCAAACACAAGCAAGTATGCAGGCATGCTCTTCCCTCTGCTCTCCATTGTGGGTGTGATATGACCTGAGCACCATGCTCCCTATCACTGTGACAGAGACAGACTGAATCCAGATTGTGAGCTGTAACAAATCCTTTCCCCGTTCAGTTGTCACAGCAACACAGAAACACAAGGGGGGGGGCAAATAGCAAATCTCTTAAGGTTTTATGTTTTCTGCTTCTTCTCGAAAGGCCAGCACAGTAAGAGTGTTAAAAGTCATGATGGATGGATGGATTAAATCTAAGATCCTTCCCCCATGTCTCAGTTTTCCCTGTCTGCACATGGGATCTTGAGGATTAAATACATGTATTTATGCAGGATTCTTAGACTAGTATCTGAGTAAATGGTGTCTGTAAGACCAGCTGCCTGGTTGATCTGTTCTTCATGCCAGCAATCCCCTGCCAATCATCTATCTCCCTACATCTTCTCTTCTAGTACCCAGGCTTGTTAGAGTTTATCCCCCACTGGCCCGACACAAGGGAAATGTTACAGGCACGTGAAAGTGGGTGGTTTTTTTTGTTTTGTGAAGCACAGGCTTGAAAAGTGGCAGAGTACACATGCTTATTAGATGGGACTTAACAGGTGCTGCTGTATGGGGATCCGGTGAGAAACCTTAGGCCCACAGAACAGACTTGGCCCTCAGCGCTTCCAGGCCCCTTGACAGAAGGCTGTGCACCAGGGTAGACTTTCCCACCCTCCCCTCTGCAGTGAGCATGAGAGGCTCTCGCCATGCTCTGTAGAGCTGTCCTGTGACTCATATTCTGGAACTGTCTCTCTTGCCACCAGCCAAGGCTGTGAGTCCCAGTCTCCATCCTGTGTCCCTTTCCTGTGTCTGAGGAGTTGGCATGTATTTATGTGCGCGTGCATGCATGCATGCGTGTGTGTGTGTGTGTGTGTGTGTGTGTGTGTGTGTGTGTGGGCATGTAGGGGGGGTTGGGTGTGGATGTATATGTGTTATGCATGTATTCTGCGTTTACCTGTTCTGTGCATGCCAGTATCTATTAGCTTAAATCCCAGAAGGCTCAGACTATAATGTCACAGTCTCATTTTATAGTCGGCAGGATTCCTTAAAATAAAACCAGATGTATATGTACCGCTTCCTGACTTTACTGAATAAAAACGTTTCCCTTAACACACATTTAACCGCGCAGGTTACACCAGGAATTATAACATTTGCTTTCTAACCCCACTAGTCAAAGGAAAGGAAGCATTACCTATTTGTATTAACTGAAACAAAGCTAGCAGCCTCAGTCTAGTTTAAACTACTTGACTAATGTGCTTGATAAGCACTTCATAGAAAAAAAAACAAGAATAAATGTTTCTCCGCCTTTCTGTAAACGCATGGTAAGATTTAGTGTTAAAGAACACAAAATATGGAATGCAGATTCCAACGTCAATTAGAATATGTTGATTCGGGTCTAAAACATCATTACACTGAATGGATTAACACAAGAACCAAAAGACTTTCTTCTCCAGGACAAAGGGAGCCTGAGGACAGTTCCTTCCTCTCTGTCATCAATGATGTGAACAGCGTCTCTGGTTCCCCCATCCATCCTTTGGTCCCCTCCACTCTGGGGGAGACTTAGGTGTCTTCAGAGAATTCCATACATGCATGGAAGAAGCTCATAGCAACACCTGACACTACACATGCCCAGGCAGGGTGACATTTCAGATAAACTAGCACAGCAAACCCCAGTGAAATAGGAGCCAGTGGGTGCAGGCGCAGGGGAGAAGTTGAGTGCAGCTCCTGGCTGGGGTTTCTTTGATCATGGTTTTCAAAGCAGGTGCTGTGTTTACTGAATCCCATTGTCACACTCCATTATGAGAGGCAATTAAGCCTATGATAAGTTAAGAGGTGATGTTGTGTTTTAGTTTGTTTTTTTTTTCCAATCTCGAACAACCCGTTGATTTGTCAGCTTTTGAAAACTGATAGGAATTTTTCAATTATACCTCATGAAATACCTGTTCTCACTCTGAGTGTTTGCAAAGCAAATGTATCTTGGATCCGGTGCTGCTGTGTTTACAAGCCTGGATCTGATTTACTAAGCTTAAAGAGATAGTGAGCACACAGGAAGAAAATCAGATTTACATAATTTTCTGCTTGCTTACAGAACTCTGCTGTCAAGAGTATCTTTTACATTTGAGAAGACTGTTTATTATGATGAGATGAAATGCCACCTACAGAGAAGTGCATTGTCTTCTAATTTAACTTCTCAAAATAAACTATGAGCCGATTTGTCACGGTGGCTTAGAAATCGCTGTTGTAATCAAAAGCAACTACTCTGGAGAAGGCCACATTTTCCTCTACATAGAGAGATTTGGGTTGACTCCATACTTTTCTCTGTGAGGTTAACGTGCTGTTACTTTACATGGCAGGAACACTGTGATCCAAACGTTGCTCCCTTTATTCCATCCCTGTTCTGTTTGTGCCTGAGAGTGTCAAAGAGCAGCTGAAGTGGAGAGATGGTCTAGATACCAAGATGGACTTGAAGTTTTGCAGGAAGAATGGGTCTTTCAGGGTGTGTGTGTGTGTGTGTGTGTGTGTGTGTGTGTGTGTGTGTGTGTGTGTGTGTGCCCTTTTCCCCGTAGTAGAAGGCAATCAGATAGCAACCTTGGTGGATGAAGGGAGCTGAGGGCTTTCTTCTCTCTTTCACACTGTATACGGATGCTTTTGCTGTAAATGATAAGTGCTCCAAGCCAAACCTCTTTTAGCTATAGGCTTGTGATCACTGCGGAAGGGGGAGGAAGTGCTGTACCCGACGGCCCACAGGACCCTCTTGTTCAATCAGGAACTTCTGGGAAAGGTTTGGTTTCTGTCCTGATTTTTTTGCCTTATGTATTGTGAGCGCTGTGCTTGACTAAGCCTTCCGTCACCCTTTCTAAATTCTGTTTGCGCAAATTTGCCACGGTGCCTTTATTTTGTACATCATCTGTATTTGCTATCTGACCACGAAAAAGTTAGAGAAAACAAACATGACTGTGTCCTGGCCAGGATTAGTTTGTTCCTCATTGAACAGAGTTCAGATGTGGGTGTATTATATAGAGCAAGCATGTGTGGGGTCATGAGGTTGAAGTCGAGCTTCCCCTGTGAATTCTGTGCAAAGACCGTGTGTGTGTGTGTGTGTGTGTGTGTGTGTGTGTGTGTGTGTTTGTGTGTGTGTATGGAGACACTCTGTCTTCGAGGACACAGTGCAGGACCCGAGTAAGCCTGGCTCGTAAGCATCTGGAGATTTTTTCTTTTTGGCGGAGCATCAGCTTTGATCTGAGTCCCTGATAGATACCTTCGTGGTTGCCGCTTTCATGGGTGGGGAAGGGTTTGTAGAGAACATGAGTGACAGGTACAGCCTGAAATCATGGGTCGTTGTCTAAACAGGGCCCTGGCTAGGGAGCATTATTTAAGCCATAAGAACATTTGCCCTGCCACACTCTCTTGGGTATTAAGGCCTCCTGGTGTGGGAAGAATTGCTCAGAATTGAAGTCTATTGCAAAAATTTCCTTCTGAGGGACGAGTGCAACTGTATGCTGTTTGGCAATGAGGTCCGGTGTGGCCCAGGCTGACCTGGAACTTGCTATGAGGCCGAAAATGACCTTGAGTTTCGGACATTTCTGCTTCTACCCCAGAAGTGCCATCACATCCAGCTCATGCCATGCCCAGGCCTTTTACATCAGCACAGGCAACCTGCTCACAGTTTGTCCCGCAGGCCCGGCTGCTCCTCTCAGTGGGCTCCTGCTTACCCTGGCTGTTTTAGAATAGCTGTAATCCATTTTTATTTTCATGATTCAGAGAC